AAATATTTGTCAACACGATTTTATAACATCATCTTCATATATTACCAGGGGCCTCGGTGGCCGAGTGGTCTAAGTAGTTACTACTGTAATCACTAGCCAGTCAACACTGAGGTTGTGAGTTCGAACCCCGCTCGTGCGGGTGCACTCGACTCCAATCTTAATTGACTAGGATTGTCAGTTTTCCTATCGAAGGTCGGTGGTTTTCTCCGGGCACTCCGGCTTCCTCCACCAATAAAAACTGGCCGCCACGAAATAGCCCAAAAGCGGTGCTTAAAAGTGGCGTTAAAACACCAAAAATCAAATCAAAATCAAATCGTATATTACCATCTTATATTAGTATCATTGTGCAAATCTTAACCCGGGATTAAATGATAAATAATATTTTAATTTTTACTTAAATAATATTTTAAAGACTTTATTCAAATTTTAAAATGACATTTGTAGTCTCCTTTCTATTTGTTAACGTCATACTATTGTTAACATCAATAAATTGTTTTATAACACTTATATATACAAGTCACATTACCTGAAGATCTATCAAAGCAGTGAAAGCGCTAGTAAATGTGATGAATTGAAACCGTTATTATCTTTTACAAAATGTATTAATTTTCTTATTTTTTATTCATAATTACTCTAAAGATCAGCACAACAATGTTAAATCTGCAATTTTGCTTCCGCAAACTTCTTGTTCTTCCCTCGCCGGGATTCAAACTCATGTAATAGGGATATCGTGACAACACCGCCTGCACTGTGTCCAGCGCTCTAGACCACTCAACCACCTAGACTGAACAAAATTCAGCTTTCGGTGGCCTAGTGTTACCCGCTTTCCTCGTCAGTAGAATCTAGAGTGGTTACACAGTACATGATATATTAGGCATGAAGATGGAATTGATTGCAGATTAGTTAAATTATCTGTCGTAAAGGATAAAGAAATAATTATTTGATATTAAGTACGTCTAAACAAGTGACAACTCTACGAGAAATCCATCCATTTGATCACCAGTGAAGGTGATACACGGCTGAAAACACATACTATATTCATAATAATTCTAAATATCAGCACAGCAATGTTCAATCTGCTTGTTCTTCCCTCGCCGAGATTCGAACTCATGCAATTTTGATATCGTGACAACACCGCCTGTACTGTGTCCAGCGCTCTAAACCACTCGGACACCTAGACTGAACAAATTTCAGCTTTCGGTGGCCTAGTGTTACCTTTCCTCGTCAGTAGAATCTAGAGTTGTTACACAGTACATGATATATTAGACATGAAGATGGAATTGATTGCAGATTAGTTAAATTATCTGTCGTAAAGGATCGTAAGATGCAGTCACAGAAATAATTATTTGATAAGTACGTCTAAACAAGTGACAACTCTACGAGAAATCTATCCATTTACTCACCACTGAAGGTGATACACGGCTGAAAACACATATTATATTCATAATTACTCTAAATATCAGCACAGCAATGTTCAATCTGCTTGTTATTCCCTCGCCGGGATTCGAACTCATGTAATTGGGATATCGTGACAACACCGCTTGCACTGTGTCCCAGCGCTCTAAACCACTCGGCCACTTAGACTGAACAAAGTTCAGCTTTCGGTGGCCTAGTGTTACCTTTCCTCGTCAGTAGAATCTAGAGTTGTTACACAGTACATGATATATTAGGCATGAAGATGGAATTGATTGCAGATGATCTAAATTATCTGTCGTAAAGGATCGTAAGATGCAGTCACAGAAATATATATATATATATATATATATATATATATATCTAAGTAGATAGAATTATCTAGTGCTTACGTTTCTTTTCATGACCACCTTGATAGAGAGTTGTTGCTTTCAAGGAACTTGCTGAACCAATGGTAAATGGTTAAGTTAAAGTTATCACTTTGAAAATGTTATTATCCAAGGATGTGTCGTAGCCAAGACCTTGTCTTTTTCTCCTATTTGATGTCACCACAGAAGGCGACTTATTACAGTAGTTTTATTTGCTGTGAGCGACACATTTGGTGCCACTAGCGTAGCAGGAAACTGCTTACTTTTCCAGAGCACCTGAGTACACTCCAGTTTTTAGGTGGGTCAATGTTGCTTAATCATTAATTTTCTTTGTAGTGCTTTTGAACTGTTGTTTCTTCGAATTGTGAACCTGTGCGTGTCAAACATTAATTTATTGAAAATTAAAGTTATTCCTTAGCTTAGCAGTACACCTGCTTTTAAAATATTTTGGAAACATAAGAATAAAAGAAAAAGAGTGCACACACTGATATATCTCGCTGAATTACTGTTAATGACCCAATTGTGTTGAAAGTCTATAAGATAAAGGTACTACTACAAGTATCACCTAATCTTAACATTATAAAGATCCGTGAAATTGAGGTCAAGTTCAGATGAACCCTGTCAGACGGACAGCTACACGTCACAATCAATCAATTATACACCAAATATAGTTGACAGATAACGTGTAGTACCTGAGAAAAGGACATAACCACGAAAACCTAAGATTCACATATAAAGCATGAAAATTAGATCAAGGTCAAATGAATCCTCCCCGACGGACATAACCTCGAAATCATTCCATAAACCAAATGAAGTTAAACTATTGCTTGTAGTTACTAAGATTCCGACCTTTCAACGAAAAAAAATAATGTTGAACAATGATACAGGAAATGAGGTAAAGGTCAAAAGAGTCATGATACACGGTTATTCTAACAATCAATACATAAAACAAATATAGTTGACTATTGTGAATTGTATCTCTGAGAAACTTAGTATTGACTATTGGACCTTGAAAAAGAGGCAAATGTCATATTAGCCCTGTCAGACGGATTTGTACAACTCACAGTTATTCAATCAACCAAATATAGTTGACCTTGTGCTTATAGTATCCAAGAAAAGAACAGAAACATGAAAAAAACCACGCTGAAATATCTGGCTGAATTACTTTTAATGACCCAATTGTGTTGAAAGTCTTTAAGATAAAGGTATTACAACAAGTAAAGGTACTAAGATGAACCCAACCTAACGGATATGTACACCTAGAAATCATTCCATACACCAAATATAATTGACCTATTGCTTATAGTATCTGAGAAAAAAACCAAACTATGGACACTTAAAATTGACAATGAACCATGAAACTGATGTCAAGGACAGATAACACCTTCAGACAAACTTGTACAACTTACAAAACATTCCATACACCAATTAGTTGACATATAATTGCTTATAGTATTTGAAAAACAGACCAAACAATGAAAACTTAACATTGACCCGTAAACCATGAAAATGAGGTCAAGGTCAGATGGACCCTATCAGACAGACATGTACACCTTTTTATCATGCCATACACCAAACATAAATGACCTAAATTGCTTATACTATCTGAGAATAGGACCAAACTATGGAAACTTAACATTGACTAATGATCCATGAAAATGATGTCACGGACAGATAATACCTGCCACACAGACATACATTCCTCACACCAAATAAAGTTGACATACTGCTTATAGTATTTTAAAAACTGACTAAAACACAATAACTTAGCATTGATCAATCAACCATGAAAATGAGGTCAAGGTCAGATGGACCTTATCAGACAGACATGTACACCTTGTTATCATGCCATACACCAAATATAGTTGACCTATATTGTTTATAGTATCTGAGAAAAGGACAAAACTACGGAAACTTAACATTGACAAATGATCCATAAAAATAAGGTCACGGACAGATAATACCTGCCACACAGACATATATTCCTCACACTAAATAAAGTTTACATACTACTTATAGTGTTTTAAAAACTGACTAAAACACAAAAACTTAGCATTGACCAATGAACCATGAACATGATGTCATCGTCAGATGAAACTTCACAGAAGATGTACAACCTACAATCATTTCATACACCCCATTTAGTTGACCTACTGCTTGAGAAGTGGACCTAATCACGTAACTTTAGCCTTGATCACTGATCCATGAAATTGGATCGATGTCAGATGAACAGTCTGACAGACATGTAGACCTTGAAAGGAAACCATATACCAAATGAAGGACATATATTGTTAGTTATACGTCCTTGACCAAATATGGTTATCCTATTAATAATAACAAGGACGTATAATATACGTCCTTGATAACAATAAGTAAGAAATGCACACGAAAAACATATATTTTTAAGCAGTCGCTGAAACATGAAAATGAGATCAAGGAAAATGGACATAATTATGACAGACGGAAACTTTGTCACATAAGTAATGTTTATACAAGGTATGAAGCATCCAGGTATTTTACCCTCTGAAATATAAGACTGAGACTTTCGTTGTAGGCGAGACAAACAAAACTATAATAGTTTTAAGCAGTCGCTCAACCATGAAAATGGGGTCAAGGACAATGGACATGTGACATACCGAAACTTCAGAACATAAGGCATCTGGCAAGATTTGAAAAATCCAGGCCTTCTATCTTTTGAAATAAATTTTATACTAATAGTTTACACTGTTGCCTCCAATGGATTAACATCCCAATGTCTCGCATTCTATGAAGAAATCTGCGACTTACATCCAAGGTGAGACATTAAATAGGTTATAAATTATTTACTTGTTATATTTCAAGTTCAATGAGAGTTTTAAGTCTAAAATATGAACAATATAAAATGTATAACACGTCACAAGTCAGAACGTAAAATTATGCATGAAGCTATTTTTGGTTTCGTGTATAGTAAACTGTATACAAGCTTAAGGTTGTTTTAAGGAATATTCTGAAATAATTCCTTGCACGGTATATGCTATACTTTTTGTCTTTTTGGTTCATAAGCTATTTTGAATAAGCTTTTGATTTTCAAATATTTTGGCCTTGAGTATCAATGAAGAGACAATTATTGTCGAAATACACATCTAGTGCAGAAAAATTTATACTATTAATGTTGTTACTATAATGTAATAAACCTGAAATGTATTGCAATTTCATAGGGAGCCAAGACAAAGATCACAATTCAATTCAATGTTTTATTAAAGTCTCATCTCTCAACAAGTACAATATATATGTATTAATTGTAAAACTATAAAACGAAAGCCATTCTATACAGAGTTATAAGAGACTATTAAAATGCATAAATACACTAAATTAAACAATATGAAATAAAGTACTATTTATAATGTATTAAATTCCTACATCTTCTTAAAATTAAAAGGTTTTTGCACAAACATACTAATCATATTTACATCTGAGTTTTTGGTTATCATCTAAATTATTAAAATTTAATATTTATTTTAAATGGCTTCTAAAATCATCATAAACAGGACATCTCAATAAAACATGTGCTTTGTCTTCCATAAAACCATAACATACATAACATTCTCTGTTTTCTAAAACTATATTTTCATACCTCACAGTATCACACCAATACAAACCATCAAAGAGGAAGAAGTTGTAAATTTTTGTTTATTGTATAAATGGTTCCTGTCCCGGATAAGATGAGATGAAGCTGAGATGAGTCTAATTTAATCCCCTTACTTGCTACTTTATGCATAAAACTTGACGTAATAAACTGGGAAGGTGAATAAAATAGTTTTTTCAAGTTATGCACTGTCCACACTTGGGACTATATTAGTAGATAACAAAAAATCAAAGGTTGATAATTGTGTTATCAGGCAAGAGATCTGATTCAATATGCCTTACTCATTAATGCAGCGGCATACTAGTTATGTATAGTTGTGTATTGCTTGTGTTACAATTATTTAATCTTACAGTGGATCACATTCAGTAGATACACCAGACATCACTAAATGATATGTTTCTTAGCAAGTCCTTCATTCACCGGGTTTTTATGGTGTTCATTACCATATACAATTGCAGTATCATAACAATGAAAACAAATGACGTTTCTGCCTATTGATACCATGATATGTTCGTGTGTCAATCTTTAGGTCAAATAACATTCAATAAATATGTTTATCATAATTGACTATTTAACGAATATACATTTTTTTTCAGTAAGACAGAATGGAAGAACATTATAATTCTATTCCAGGAGTCTTCCTGTGCCTTTGAATGAGCTTCTTTCTCACCACCCCACATCAATATCACTTCTGTAAATAACAAGTTGTATATAATGGTAATTTAGTTTAGGTTGTGGTAGATGTTTTATGTATGAAGAAATTCAAAAGAAACAAGCATGGATACAACACATTTCATATTGTATATATCATTCTCATAAAATAGAACTTAAACAGAACAACCCTTTTTCTGATTTGTAAGCTAAATCAGGTAGATGCACTTACAAAAACTTCAGTGTAAGGCAATTACAAAAGACATATTAGACAATTGTACAAGGATCACTAAGCAATAGGGTTCTAAAATAAGTACATGACATTTAGGGCATGGTCTCCCTTTAACAGTTTCTTTTGAATTTCTTATAAACTATGTTTCATATATAAAAAATTATTATCTGTTTCAGTGATATTTTCAATGAAGTTTCTTTATTATTTCAGCCTATTTCCTTTGCTTAACATGTTCTTGATTTGATGAGGGAAAGTAGAACAAAAATCATAACTCAAAAGAAAAGATACAGGAATGTGTTGATTTGATTTGATTTCATCTGTTCTTGAAAATAAGTCTGATTGTCACTATCAAATTTTTTTTCAGCCATCTTTTTTTCACAGTCATTGTACTCCTTGGTTAATATGTGTACCATTTAAAAAAGGAAAGACAAATTGTATAATCCTGTACCTTTTTGTATTTTTTCACCAAAACTGTCAACTACATATGTTTTGTTATTTGAAGGACATATTGGTAAGTATGGTGGCTCAATTAAATGTCCAGTTCCAGGGTACCTTACAACTGTCAGATTATGTTGTTTACTCCGTGGATAGGTTTCTTGGAACATTTGAGCACATCTTGGGTGTAAACTCTGATCATCTTCTCCAACCAAATATAATATCTGTACATCTGTTCTCCATGTCTGAATGTACATTATAAAGCAGAATATAAACAGCTGTTCAGCTTATATATTTCATTTGCAATAATTACTTTTAATAATGAATTATACCATATAATGGATCAATATATCATGCTCAGACCTGATAAAAAACTTATTTCAATATGGTAAAAATTTCAATAACTGCATAAAGCAAATACAATTCAAAACGGTTATTCTTGAATATAAAACTTGCCCTCATTGAGGAAATTATATCTTTAACATAACAGCTTTTTCAATGTCTGACACTAAAATAATTGCAGACTGTTAAAATAAATTGAGAGAAAGTCAGTCGCTGTCAACATAAAAGCTTATTATAAACAAAAATCTTGTAAGCCATAAATCACCAGATTTGTTTCTGTTCTAATATCCTTTTGAGGGACATGTATTATTAAAATGGCATTTAAAGTATGAAAATTTAATTTCTAATGAAACTTTATCGTGGGATTTCGTTCAAGTTGACTTATTAATAGATCTGTTCCAGCTGGTCTTTTTTGTTTTTAGTTTCTTTCTATCTGCTATACTTTCAGCACAAACACTAAAAAAATAGTAATAAAAGAACAGAGTTCCAAAAATCCCCTGCGTTGCACATATTTTATCTATCCAAGGTACAAGGGCAATAACTAAATGAAAAACTTTTTTTTTTGTAGTGCTAATGAGGCCATTTTCCATAAATTAAATATTTCCAAGGGGTATAAATCTTTTAAAAAAGTCAATCGTCCACCTTTATAGAACTTGTCTGAGATATTGCTGATATTAACCTATAGTATAAGTTTTATAAAAATCTGGCAAGAACTACACCCATTAGAGCGCTAACGAGGCCATTTTCCAAAAAAAATAATATTTCCAAGGGGCATAACTCTTTTAAAAAAAGTTGATCATCCACCTTTATAGAACTTGTCTGAGATATTGCTGATATTAACCTATAGTATAAGTTTTATAAAAGTCTGGCAAGAATTGTACCCGTGAGAACGCTAACAAAGCCATTTTCCATAAATTTAATATTTCCAAGGGGCATAACTCTTTTAAAAAATGTTGATCGTCCACCATTATAGAACTTGTCCGATATATTGCTGATATTAATCTATAGTATAAGTTTTATAAAAATCTGGCAAGAATTGTACCCGTGAGAACGCTAACAAGACCAGACAGACAGACAAACGGACGGACACACAGGGCCTGAAAAAAAATAGTCAAACTGATATGTACTGATAGTAATGCAACTTTATACAAAATATCATTAATCTATCAAACTGACTTAAGCAGAAAACTTAACATTGAAAATTGCTAATTAATTCAAAGTCACTGGACCATGACCTATTGGGAAGGGCCTCAAAATAGTCGTTAAACTGATATGAACTGATAGTAATGCAATTTCATACAAAATATCCTTGATCTATCACAAGTAGATCCTATCAAACTAACTTTAGTAGAAAACTTAACATTGAAAATCGCTTATTAATTCAAAGTTACTGGACCATGTTCTAAGGGGCAGGGCCACAAAATAGACGACATCAAACTGATATGTACAGATAGTAATGCAACTTTATAGTAAATATCAATGATCTATCACAAGTAGTTCCTATCAAACTAACTTAAGCAGAAAACTTAACATTGAAAATTTCTAATTAATTCAAAGTCGCTTGACCATGACCTAGGGGGCAAGGTCAAGAAATAGTCGTCAAACTGATATGTGCTGATAGTAATTCAACTTTATATTAAATATCAATGATCTATCACAAGTAGTTCCTATCAAACTAACTTACACAGAAAACTAAACATTGAAAATTGCTAGTTAATTCAAAGTCGCTGGTCCATGACCTATAGGGGTCAGGGCCTCGAAATAGTCATCAAACTGATATGTACTGATAGTAATGCAACTTTATATTAAATATCAATGATCTATCACAAGTAGTTCCTATCAAACTAACTTAACAATTGTTGACGCTGTTGTCGCCGCAGCCATCTACATTGCCGGAAAGCAATCCTGATGTCTCCAAGGCTACTTTCATCACAGGTGAGACAAAAATAATACTACTAGAGGGGTGTTTAACGACCTTGACTACCCATGAGGGTCATGCATTCATCATTCAAGAGCAATAAAATCCTATCAGTAGTCGACTGACGATATAGGTCATTTCAACTTTTTTTTGTCCTGCTAATCATAGTTGTAATTTACAGTTTCTCCATATCTACTATAGCTGCCATTCCAAAAATCAAAAACAATAATGAGTAAAATCTGTATTTAAGGGCAATAACTCATGTCGAATGACAATGTCTGCCATATTGACTTATAAGAAGATCTTGTCAAGCTGATGACTTTTGTTTTTTACATTTTCTCTGTACAGTCAGAATCCCTGTCTAACATGTCCTCCTTGACCAGTTATACATTTTCTCTGTACAGTCAGAATCCCTGTCTAACATGTCCTCCTTTACCAGTTACATTTTCTCTGTACAGTCAGAATCCCTGTCTAACATGTCCTCCTTTACCAGTTACATTTTCTCTGTACAGTCAGAATCCCTGTCTAACATGTCCTCCTTTACCAGTTACATTTTCTCTGTACAGTCATAATCCCTGTCTAACATGTCCTCCTTTACCAGTTACATTTTCTCTGTACAGTCAGAATCCCTGTCTAACATGTCCTCCTTGACCAGTTATACATTTTCTCTGTACAGTCAGAATCCCTGTCTAACATGTCCTCCTTTACCAGTTACATTTTCTCTGTACAGTCAGAATCCCTGTCTAACATGTCCTCCTTTACCAGTTACATTTTCTCTGTACAGTCAGAATCCCTGTCTAACATGTCCTCCTTTACCAGTTACATTTTCTCTGTACAGTCAGAATCCCTGTCTAACATGTCCTCCTTTACCAATGACATTTCTCTGTACAGTCAGAATCCCTGTCTAACATGTCCTCCTTTACCAGTTACATTTTCTCTGTACAGTCAGAATCCCTGTCTAACATGTCCTCCTTTACCAGTTGCAGTTTAAATTCCTGTCATCTTTTGGATTATTGTTGATTCCTCCTGAATATGCCTGGAATATTTGTCACTGGATGTTAAGCAAAAGACAATCAATCAATCAAACCTGTTTAAGAATGCAATGTTTTGAATATTGTAAATGCTGAAAAATTTTTTGGAGCCTTGCTTATGCCCTTTAACCATCCACTCTTAAGTGGCATCAGCTGAGTGTCAAGCTATGCCACTGGATGTAAGTCAAAAACCTAATGTGACCATTGAAACATGAAAATGAGAGGTCAAGGTCAACTACCATGAGCAAGGTTTTACTTGTCTAGCTCTTTAACCTTCTGAAATAATTAGTCATCTTCATTATAACTGCCACCCCAGACAGCATTCTGCGAATTTCTTTGCAATCCAGATAAAAAATTTATCAATATAACGGTTTTCAAATAAAAAAAATTACTTTGTAAAATCAGATAAGCCTTTTAGACTATTAGCTTATGTGTGTTGTCAAAAAAATAAAAAGAATCTCTTGCCATTTTCCTTTTAATACCAAGGCTACTCTGTTCTTAAATATCAACATGCATTTAACCCCTTTCTCTGATGTCCAAACTGTTGATTTTTTTTCAAGAACCCACTGACCTCTGTACCTTATCAATGCAAAGACTTACTTGGGTAAGTTTTTCACTGGTTAAATTGTCACATATTGCATCCCTTGTTCTAAATACAAGACTCTCATCTGGCTGTACAGTTAAAGCAGCAGAATGGTTCATCCTATATTGAATTTTAAGAAGAATTAGAATTAATAATTATGTTCACAATACAATGTCGCTAGATTCTTAGTCATACCCAAACATACTTTGATAAGAAGACAAGAGTGCACACGCTGAAATGTCTCGCCTTCTTTACTAATCATTGATATTATGTTGATAGTCCTAAATATAAAGCTTTATTACAACTGTCACATAAACTTAACATTAACCAAGTAAACTAAACATTGACCAATGAACCATGAAAATGAGGTCAAGGTCAGATGAACCATGCTAGGCAGGATGTACAGCTAACAATTCTTCCATACAACAAATATAGTTGACCTATTGCTTATAGTTTAAGAAAAACAGACCAAAACACAAAAACTTAACACTGAGCAATGAACCTTGAAAATGAGGTCAAGGTCAAATAAAACCTGCGTGACTGACATATACTGGTAGATCATAAAATATTTCCATACACCAAATATAGTTGAACTATTGCATATAGTATTAGAAAAAAAGACCAAAACTAAAAAACTTAACTTTGACCACTGAACCATGAAAATGAGGTCAAGGTCAGATGACACCTGCCAGCTAGACATGTACACCTTACAATCATTCCATACACCAAATATAGTAGACCTATTGCATACAGTATAAGAAAAACAGACCAAAACACAAAAACTTAACTATAACCACTGAACCATGAAAATGAGGTCAAGGTCAGATGACACCTGCCAGTTGGACATGTACACCTTACAGTCCTTCCATACATCGAATATACTAGACCTATTGCTTATAGTATCTGAGATATGGACTTGACCACCAAAACTTAACCTTGTTCACTGATCCATGAAATGAGGTTGAGGTCAAATGAAAACTGTCTGACGGGCATGAGGACCTTGCAAGGTACGCACATACCAAATATAGTTATCCTATTACTTATAATAAGAGAGAATTTAACATTACAAAAAATCTTAACTTTTTTTCAAGTAGTCACTGAACCATTAAAATGAGGTCAAGGACATTGGACATGTGACTGACAGAAACTTCGTAACATGAGGCATCCATATACAAAGTATGAAGCATCCAGATCTTCCACCTTCTAAAATATAAAGCTTTTAGGAAGTTAGCTAACGCCGCCGCCGCCGTAGCCACCGCCGCCGTAGCCACCGCCGCCGTATCACTATCCCTATGTCGAGCTTTCTGCGACAAAAGTCGCAGGCTCGACAAAAAATGGTTGACAGGGTGTTGGTGAATTACCAATAACAGCTGAATATACAATAATCGAGATGAATTTCAGGATCCGTAACATATGTTGAAGTTGACATTTTCTGTAAAAAAGTTAGATATAAACAAAGGAAATCATTTACTATAAGTGCAGGCGATTCACGAAGGGAACCACTAAAGTTCAAACTTACTATAAGTAACTCGTAGTAGAGTACCATATCTATCAACCTCAACTAGAAGCTCACCTGGTATAATCTTATTTTAATCTTGGTGATATTTTTTTTAATTACTGTCTATCTTATATAGTTTTAAAATTAATTAACACACAAAATTTAGGTAAAAATTGCCTTTTTTAAGGCATTCACTTCTGTAAAGAGTCAATCCATTTTCTTATTATTTGACTGGATGGTATGTCTTGTCTTGCTGATCATTTTTGCTAGATACAGTTTAACTCTTATTTATTATACCTTTCAAGAAAACAGAAAACATCCAAAAAACACATAAAAGAACAGAGTTCCAATGTCCCCTGCATTGCACATATTTTATCTATCCAAGGTACCAGGGCAATAACTAAACAGAGGCTCTCAAGAGTCTTAATTGCTCACCTGTAATTTTTTTGCTTAAATCTTTCATCAATGATTATTTTTACTTTTCAATATATTTAATGAGTTGCATAAAATTGTCATTTAAATGTTCTCTGTATCTGTCATATTTTCTTCAAAAGCAAAAAAGTGGTTTCAGAGGAGAAGATGTAATAGTTTACACCAGACAGACGACGACGGATGCCAAGTGATGGCAAAAACTCACATTTCCTTTGGAAAGGTGAGCTAAAAAAGCACTTTTTTTGTTGTTCTTTGAAATTTTTATTCTTATCTTAAGAGAAATGAAGGCTTTAGAACAAATGAAATATGATTTCCATTATAATTAATATTTCCAAGGGGCATAACTCGTTAAAAATATTTGATCAGAACTTATTTTTGAAAGTGTCAAAGACATTGCTGATATAAACTTATAAGCTTCATAAAATTCTGGCAAGAATTGAACACATGAGAGCGCTAACATTGCAATTGTCCATATAGTTAATGTTTCCAAGGGGCATAACTATTTTAAAAATAATTAATTGGCACTCATTTTCAAACTCGTCCAAAACATTGCTGATATAAACCTATGATATAAGTTTCATAAAAATCTGGCAAGAATTGAACACATGAGAGCGCTAACAGGACTGGAGGGACACCTGGTATTTCTATGTCCCCTACAACATGTTGCGCGGGGGACAAACAATTGATAACAAAACTGTACAAGAGTGCACACACTGAAATGTCTCGCCTGTTTTACTTATCATTGAATTCATGTTGAAAGTCTGTAATATGAAGGTTTTACTACAAGTGTCACATAAACTTAACATTATCAATGTTCTATGAAAATGAGGTCACAGTACGTAAGATAAACCATGCCAGACAGACATGTAAACCTTACAATCATTCGATATACCAAATATAGGGATCCTATCACTAATAATACCTGAAAAACAGAATAAACTACAAAATCTTAACATTGACCAATGAACCATGAAAATGAGGTCAAGGTTATATAAACCCTGCACACCTTACAATCATATCATACACCAAATATAGTTGACCTATTGCTTATAGTATCTGATAAACTAACAAAATTATGAAAACTTATCATTGACCAATGAACCATAAAGATGAGGTCACGTTCATATGAACCTTGCCAGACAGACATGTACACCTTATAATCATTCCATACACCAAATATAATTGACCTATTGCTTATAATATCTGAGAAATAGACCAAACAACAAAAGCTAAACATTGTCCAATGAACAATGAAAATGAGGTCAAGGTCAAATGAAACCTGACAGACTGACATGTACACCTTACCATTCCATACACTAAATATAGCAGCCCTATTGCTTATAGTATCTGAGAAATAGACCAAACCACGAAAACTAAACATTGTCCAGTGACCCATAAAATTAAAAGGTGAAGGTCAGATGAAACCTGCCAGTCTGACATGTACACCATACAATCATTCCTTACACACTTTAGCCTTGATCACTTATCCGTGAAATGAGGTTGAGGTCAGGTGAACCCTACCTGATGGACATGTAGATGTTGCAAGGAACCCATATACCAAATATAGTTAACTATTACTCATTATAAGTGAGTATTTCACTTGACAAAAAAACATTTTTTTTTTTCAAGCAGTCACTGAAACATGAAAATGAGTTCAAGGACAATGGAGATATGACAGACGGAAACTTCGTATCATAAGGTATCTGCATACAAGGTATGAAGCATCCAGGTCTTATACCTTCTGAAATATAAAGCTTTACTCAAATAGTTTACTCTGTTTACTCCCCTGCAAGATTGTAATCCCTATGTTTACTTCCGCCGCAGTCAAGACAAAATCCTTTAACAACAAGGTGGGGATTAACTTCTATTAATTGTTAAGTTATTCTGGATTTTTTTTGAGAAAAAAACATCATAATGTTGAAGAATATCAGATCTCGTGCATATTTGTAACTGATTACACCAAAAAGGAGCATAATTATTGCTGGAAATTTGTATATCTGATTACTGATAATCATTATGACAAGAAAAACAAATGTGTTCACATGTAAAAAAACAGGTAGCCCCTGTCTCATTTTATGAAAAAGGGTCCATTTGGGTCTATATACTATAGCTATGAAAAACCATTAAACATTATGGTGGCAAACTTCTTTTAAGATTTGATTTCTTTCAAGATTTTTTCCTAAAACATCATTTAGGAGCTTAGTAATACCAAATAGGAGCATAGAATTTCCTACAAATTTGTATATCTGATTGTCGAAAAGTATGATGGCCTATGTATGAAGGCAACACAGATGAAATTCTTCCCATTATATACACCAATCTGATTGAAATACTTATCCGGTGTCAACACTTCAGTTGTAAAGATCTAACAAAACTCCATTCTACTTTTGTCAACCTATGACATTTCTGCTTCAAAATTTGATGATACATTAAAAAGTTCTTCACTACAGAAAGTAAAACAGAGCATTGTAAGATTGTTGGAAGTAAAGCATGCTCACAGGATCTGTATTCTCATCAGATTACAAATTAACTTACTCTACATAGTTATCAAATGGAGCCAGTGGAGCTGAAGAATTAAATGGAGGACCATTGATGTTTACTACAGCTTTGATCTGAAAAATAAGCATAGGTTATCAATATTAACCAAGTACCTCAATATATATTATCTGTAACCTGATATAAAAGTGAAATTTTACTTCTGTGTATACTTGACTAAAATGAAAGTCATTGGTCACTGCATTTGATGGGATTTAAGCTCCCATTAGATGTTTGATTTGACACAAGTCTGGAAGTGTTTAGCTGTAACGTGAGTGATACAACTTACAAGCTGCATGGAGCCTCAAATTACAAATAAAAGTAAATGGAAATAACAGTATTATTATAAGCAGGGTTCTAACTCTTTGAAAACAAAAAAATCTAGAATTTTTCCTGGATTTCTCCAATTCATTCATCTTTTTCTTCCAAACAGTTTAATATCTATGTATTTAACTATTACCATTCTATCAGTGTTCTGAAGGAACAACCAAACCACAGAGAATTAACAAAGACATATTTCATCCATATAATGATAGAGCAGATTGTTACCCCGAGAAAACATTGTCAACTGAAGCGAAGCCCAGGTTAATAATGTCTTTTAGAAGGGTAACAATCTGCACTATCACCCTCTCAGATATGTGTTATTTAGTTTATTATTCTGAATGTTTTGTTATTACTGGTACTGTCTATTAAATTTCAAATTTAAGGTAATAAACAATGACGTCTTGAACATAACAACCATCTGTATTTAATAAAGCGCACACTTGATCAAGCGTCTCAGTGAAGGGTAATAGAGTAAATTATCTCCCTCGTAATAACCAATCAAAATCTGGCATTTTGACATGAAGTATAATAAATTTTAATATTCTACCATCTACATGAGGAATGCATTACACATTAACATTACTTCCCTTGTTGCTTAGTGTGTTTGTAACATGACTATACCAATGAATCGTTAATATTGTTACAGTCGAACCCCTTTATGTCGAAGTGACCGGACAAAGGTGTTCGACTTATCCCAGGTTCGACTCATCCAAGATTGAGTGTGTCGTCATAAATTTGGAATGCATGAAATATGGTATGAGATTTGTGTAAACTAGATACTTTGAACAGTGTGCCTTTTTTTTATAAATGAAACTTTATGGTTGTGTATTCAATCTCCATATTTTTTGGTCCTTCATAATAATTAAACACACAAGTAAGATACAAATCATGTACAAATAAAATCAATAGTATACATAAATGTTTACAAAGGTCAGTCACTATAAATTATGAAATCACTCGCGGAACGAAACAAGTTCTTAACGGTCTCTGATGAGGTCGTCTGCTTTATATTAAATTATTATATATTTATCATAATTGTCTTAATCCTTTTATTTATTGTAATTAATGAATTTTAATTATAACGATTTATTTAATCTCGGCTTTGGTCATTTAAATTCAATTCGTTTTTATGTTAGGTGAAATATGTTCAACACACTAACATCCGCTTGGACGATCAACAAAGGTGTTAATTACCGGTCACTATAAACATGTCATTTTAACTGTTATACAAACAAGTATGTTTACTCAGCTTTAATCTCTTTTGAAAATGATTAGGTTACATGAGAAATACATCTGAGTTGAACTTTTATCATTAGATCTGCATCTTTCGAAAATTCTTACTTTCGAACTTCGAGACATCTGGGTCAATTTACATTAATTTTACATCGACAGGACTATACAATTTACTCGACTTAACCAAGTATTGGAATCCACCGAGTTCGACTCATCAGAGGTAATAATGCATTGATCAAACGTGAATTTTACCGGGACTGAGAAATTACTTCGACTCATCAGAGTTTTCGACACAAGGAGGTTCGACTGTATATTGTACATTGGATGTTAACAATTCATATCTTCTGTTAGGAGTTAAACCAGTACGAATAACTAGAGGCTCTAAAGAGCCTGTGTCGCTCACCTTGGTCTATGTGCATATTAAACAAAGGACACAGATGGATTCATGACAAAATTGTGTTTTGGTGATGGTGATGTGTTTGTAGATCTTACTTTACTGAACATTCTTGCTCCTTACTACTATCTCTATCTATAATGAACTTGGCCCGGTAATTACAGTGGAAAATACTTTGTAAAAATTTACAAAAATTTACAAAATTTATGAAAACTGTAAAAAATTGACTATAAAGGGCAATAACTCCTTAAGGGGTCAATTGACAATTTTGGTCATTTGCCTTATTTGTAGATCTAACTTTGCTGTACATTATTGCTGTTTACAGTTTATCTCTATCTATAATAATATTCAAGATAATAACCAAAAGCTGCAAAATTTTCTTAAAATTACCAATTCAGGGGCAGCAACCCAACAACGTGTTGCCTGATTGGTCTGAAAATTTCAGGGCAGATAGATCTTGACCTAATGAACAATTTTATTTTCATCAGATTTGCTCTAAATGCTTTGGTTTCAGAGATATGAGCCAAAAACTGCATTTTGGTTAAATTTGTCTTAGTTGTTTCAGAGGAGAAGATTTTTGTAAAAGATAACAAAAATTTACGAAAAATGGTTAAAAATTGACTATAAAGGGCAATAACTCCTTAAGGGGTCAACTGACCATTTTGGTCATGTTGACTTATTTGTAGATCTTACTTTGCTGAACATTATTGCTGTTTACAGCTTATCTCTATCTATAATAATATTCAAGATAATAACCAAAAATGGCAAAATTTCCTTAAAATTACCAATTCAGGGGCAGCAACCCAACAACGGGTTGTCCGATTCATCTGAAAATTACAGGGCAGATAGATCTTGACCTGATAAACAATTTTACCCCCATGTCAGATTTGCTCTAAATGCTTTGGTTTCAGAGATATATGCCAAAATCTACATTTTACCCATATGTTCTATTTTTAGCCATGGCGGCCATCTTGGTTGGTTGGCCGGGTCACCGGACACATTTTTTAAACTAGATACCCCAATGATGATTGTGGCCAAGTTTGGTCAAATTTGGCCCAGTAGTTTCAGAGGAGAAGATTTTTGTAAAAGTTTACGGACGACGGACGCAGGACGACGGACGACGGACGCAAAGTGATGAGAAAAGCTCACTTGACCTTTCAGGTCAGGTGAGCTAATAAAAAGGATTTTAAATATATAGCCTATCTAAAACTTTTCAGAGGGTTAACAAATAATTCTAAATTTTGTTTCAGAATTTTGAAAAGGATTTAATTTGATTTTCAAAGCATGTTATCAATTGATATAGAAATTAAAAGCTTTGTCCCCAATGATATCATCCACCCAGTAGCATTCAATACATGAATCTGCCTCTCTTTTTTCAATGTTTTTGATTTTTTTGGCAAATTTCAAGGACATTTTAAAGGCATACAATAAAGTAGCAAGAACAGATATAAATAATGCATTCCAATTTTTGCATCATTGCTATAAACGGTAAGATCCAAACTCGTGGAAAAATCACTAACATCATGAAATCAGTTATGTGAATTTGAAAGTATTTACAAAGGAAAAAGAGAATATTGCAGAAGCATAAAATTTGAGGAAAATGAAGACTGTTTACTTTTCTATCATCAATAAAGTCATACATAACAGTAATTCTTATAGCGTTTTGATGTATGCCTGGAATAGCTGCACAATTATGTTGTATCAAAAAATCACTGCAATGAAATCTAGCACCAAAAAAAAAAGAAATTGGATCTCTAGCATTTATAAAACTAGGTTTTCAACCTCTAGTTTAACAAGAGGCTCTTAAGAGCCTGAATCGCTCACCTGTATTTCAGAGGAGAAGATTTTCAAATGTTAGCAAACTTGATGAACAAATTGTGTAAAATTGTCTTTAAAGGGCAATAACTCCTTAAGGGGTCAATTGACAATTTTGGTCATATTAACTTTTTTGTAGATCTTACTTTGCTGAACATTATTGCTGCTTACAGTTTATATATATCTATAATAATATTCAAAATAATAACAAAAAATTTGTAAGGGTTCCGCAGAACACCGTGTCTCGTCTACTTTCGCAGGCGCAACAAAAATGAGGAAAAAAAATAATAAAAATATTCCTCTCTATACTATCTTTTGATTGTAAATAGCTTCTGTCCAAGTTTGGTAAAAATCAGGGATAATTTATGAATCTAATAAATGTTTTAAAAACTTAAACTGCAGAATGTATGTAATGTTGACTGGAAGAAAAACTAAGTCCATTTATAAGTAAAATACGGAAAAAATGGAACAAAATTTCCTTCTAGATACTAGCTTTTGATCATAAACAAGCTTCTGTCCAAGCGTGGTACAAATCCAGGATAGTTTAAGAAAGTTGTTAAAATTTTAAAAACTTTAACCACAGAGTGAATGTAATGTTAACTGTCAGAAAAACTAAGTCCATTTATAAGTAAAATACGGAAAAAATTGAACTTTTTTTTTACAAAATTTACTTCTGGATACTATCTTATGATCATATACAAGCTTCTTTCCAAGTTTGGTAGAAATCCAGGATAGTTTAAGAAAGTTATTAAAATTTCAAAAACTTTAACCACAGAGTGAATGTAATGTTTCCTGGCAGAAAAACTAAGTCCATTTATAAGTAAAATACGAAAAAAATGGAATTTTTTTTTTACAAAATTTACTTTTGAATATAATCTTATGATCATAAACAAGCTTCTGTCCAAGTTTGGTAGAAATCCAGGATAGTTTAAGAAAGTTATTAAAATTTCAAAAACTTTAACCACAGAGTGAATATTTGTGGACGCCGCCACCACCGATGCTGACGTTGCAGTATCGCTATGTCTCGCTTTTTCGACAAAAGTCGAAGGCTCGACAAAAACTGCAAAATTTTGTTAAAACTACCAATTCGGCGGCAGCAACCCAACAATGGGTTGATCGATTCGTCTGATAATTTCAGGGCCAATAGATCTTGACCAATTAAACAATTTTACCCCATGTCACATTTACTCTAAAAGGTTTAGTTTTTGAGATATAAGCCAAAAACTGCATTTGACCCTTATGTTCTATTTTTAGCCATGGCGGCCATGTTTTTTGATGGATACAAACTTCGGATACAATTTATAAACAAGATACCCTAAGGAACATTTAATTAAAGTTTGAAGGTAATTGGCCCAGTAGTTTCAGAGGAGAAGATTTTTAAATGTTAGCAAACTTGATGAACAAATTGTGTAAAATTGTCTTTAAAGGGCAATAACTCCTTCAGGGGTCAATTGACAATTATGGTCATATTAACTTTTTTGTAGATCTTACTTTGCTGAACATTATTGCTGCTTACAGTTTATATATATCTATAATAATATTCAAAATAATAACAAACTAGAGGCTCTAAAGAGCCTGTGTCGCTCACCTTGGTATATGTGCATATTAAACAAAGGACAAAGATGGATTCATGACAAAATTGTGTTTTGGTGATGGTGATGTGTTTGTAGATCTTACTTTACTGAACATTCTTGCTGCTTACAATTATCTCTATCTATAATGAACTTGGCCCAGTAGTTATAGTGGAAAATATTTTGTAAAAATTTACAAAAATTTACAAAATTTATGAAAAAATTGTAAAAAATTGACTATAAAGGGCAATAACTCCTTAAGGGGTCAATTGACAATTTTGGTCATTTGCCTTATTTGTAGATCTAACTTTGCTGTACATTATTGCTGTTTACAGTTTATCTCTATCTATAATAATATTCAAGATAATAACCAAAAGCTGCAAAATTTTCTTAAAATTACCAATTCAGGGGCAGCAACCCAACAACGTGTTGCCTGATTGGTCTGAAAATTTCAGGGCAGATAGATCTTGACCTGATAATCAGTTTTACCCGATGTCAGATTTACTCTAAATGCTTTGGTTTCAGAGATATAAGCCAAAATCTACATTTTACCCCTATGTTCTATTTTTAGCCATGTCGGCCATCTTGGTTCGCGGGCGGGGTCATCGGACACATTTTTTAAACTATATACCCTAATGATGATTGTGTAAAAGTTTGGTTAAATTTGTTTTAGTAGTTTCAGAGAAGATTTTTGTAAAAGATTACAAAAATTTACGAAAAATGGTTAAAAATTGACTATAAAGGGCAATAACTCCTTAAGGGGTCAACTGACCATTTTGGTCAAGTTGACTTAATTGTAGATCTTACTTTGCTGAACATTATTGCTGTTTACAGTTTATCTCTATCTATAATAATATTCAAGATAATAACCAAAAACGGCAAAATTTCCTTAAAATTACCAATTCAGGGGCAGCAACCCAACAACGATTTGCCTGATTGGTCTGAAAATTTCAGGGCAGATAGATCTTGTTCTGATAAACAATTTTACCCCCATGTCAGATTTGCTCTAAATGCTTTGGTTTCAGAGATATGAGCCAAAAACTGCATTTTACCCTATGTACTATTTTTTAGCCATGTCGGCCATCTTAGTTCGTGGGCGGGGTCATCGGACACATTTTTTAAACTATATACCCTAATGATGATTGTGGACAAGTTTGGTTAAATTTGTCTTAGTAGTTTCAGAGGAGAAGATTTTTGTAAAAGATAACAAAAATTTACGAAAAATGGTTAAAAATTGATTATAAAGGGCAATAACTCCTTAAGGGGTCAACTGACCATTTTGGTCAAGTTGACTTAATTGTAGATCTTGCTCTGCTGAACATTATTGCTGTTTACAGTTTATCTCTATCTATAATTATATTCAAGATAATAACCAAAAACGGCAAAATTTCCTTAAAATTACCAATTCAGGGGCAGCAACCCAACAACGGGTTGTCAGATTCATCTGAAAATTTCAGGGCAGATAGATCTTGACCTGATAAACAATTTTACACCATGTCAGATTTGCTCTAAATGCTTTGGTTTCAGAGATATAAGCCAAAATATACATTTTACCCCTATGTTCTATTTTTAGCCATGGCGGCCATCTTGGTTGGTTGACCAGATCACCGGACACATCTTTTAAACTATATACCCCAATGATGATTGTGACCAAGTTTGGTTAAATTTGACCCAGTAGTTTCAGAGGAGAAGATTTTTGTAAAAGTTTACGGACGACGGACGACGGACGACGGACGCAAAGTGATGAGAAAAGCTCACTTGACCTTTCAGGTCAGGTGAGCTAAAAACTACAAAATTTTATTAAAACTACCAATTCCGTGGCAGCAACCCAACAATGGGTTGTTCGATTCGTCTGAAAATTTCAGGGCCGATAGATCTTGACCAATTAAACAATTTAACCCCTTCTTATTTGCTCTTAAAGGTTTAGTTTTTGAGATAAAAGCCAAAAACTGCATTTGACCCTTATGTTCTATTTTTAGCCATGGCGGCCATGTTTGTTGATGGATACAAACTTCGGATAAAGTTTATAAACAAGATACCCTAAGGAACATTTAGTTAAAGTTTGAAGGTAATTGGCCCAGTAGTTTCAGAGGAGAAGATTTTTAAATGTTAGCAAACTTGATGAACAAATTGTGTAAAATTGTCTTTAAAGGGCAATAACTCCTTAAGGGGTCAATTGACAATTATGGTCATATTAACTTTTTTGTAGATCTTACTTTGCTGAACATTATTGCTGCTTACAGTTTGTATATATATCTATAATGATATTCAAAATAATAAAAAAAAACTGCAAAATTTTGTTAAAACTACCAATTCAGTGGCAGCAACCCAACAATGGGTTGTTCGATTCGTCTGAAAATTTCAGAGCTGATAGATCTTGACCATTTGAACAATTTTACCCCATGTCAGATTTGCTCTAAAAGCTTTAGTTTTTGAGATATAAGCCAAAAACTGCATTTGACCCCTATGTTCTATTTTTAGCCATGGCGACCATGTTTGTCGATGGATCAAAACTTCAGATACAATTTATAAACTAGATACCCTAAGGAACATTTAGTTAAAGTTTGAAGGTATTTGGCCCAGTAGTTTCAGAGGAGAAGATTTTTTAAATAGTTTACGAGGACAGACAACGACGGACGCCAAGTGATGGCATAAGCTCACATGGGGCCCTTTGGGCCCTGGTGAGCTAAAAAGGAGCACATGGATCCCCATTTTTTCTTTTGCAATCGACTATGTTCTACTTCAAGAATGTTATATCGAAATTGTAAGATAAAAATTAACAGTAGATTTTTTTCTGTATTCATTTGTATTGGCAAGAAAACTGTCTACAGCTTTTTATTACCAATAATTGCATGATTTCACAAAATTTTCATCTTATTACGTCTCCATTCATTAGACTGTCTTAAGCGTAAAGGTCTATAAATCAAGAGACACTTTGTATGTAAGCTATAGATTTCAATTGTCAGGTCATGGTTTTTGCCTGAACTTGAAAACTGGATTAAGTTTGGAATTCCATTTCAGTCACTCCAGGCCTTAAAGGCATTCGATGCAGAAAAAGAAACTTGTTGGTTTTTCCTGAAAAGTTTGGCACAAAGTCAAATTTAATATGCACTAACCAAATATGCAAACAAAAATTACTTCATGACTTACTTTTCATTATATTTCAGTTTAAAATCATTTTTCAATAATTGTCTAAAAAACTTTCAATAGGAAAGAGATAGTTTCACCCTCCTGCACTAAATGTGCAGTTGAATTAGTATGTGAGCAATCTGAAAAAAACTGTTTGAACTAGTCCATAATATGTAAAATAGTTGATTCTGACTAGTTAGACTGGAATGACAAATAAAAAAAATCAAAATTGAAAGATATGCCTCTTTTCCTAACCCAAACAAAGGTGAAAAGTATAAAGTTTTAAGTTAATCAATACAAGCACACTCTTTTAAGAAGTGTGTGACATGTGAAAAGTTGACATATCTGATGGTTAAAGTCCCATAACTCTGATACAAAAAAATATTAAATTTTCAAAAATCAAAAGGAAGCTTTTTTTACTAATTGAAAAAAATATTATAAAGTTTCAAGTTAATTTATTAAAGCATAAGATGGTGCACTTATGTGCAAAATTAAATTGGAAAGTTCAAATTCTATCATTTTGGAATGTAAAACACCCCTCAAAATCCAAAGGATGCTTTCTTACAGCCATTCAAATGTTCTATACAATTTTCATGAAATTTAAACAAACATTTGATTCTCTGTCAAACAGGAAATGACTGCCTTGCAGAATAGAAAATCGCTTTCACACAATAGATCAACATTATTTTTTATGTCAAATGTCTACATTTTCCTTAACATGGAAGTTTATATTAAAAATGTAATGAAAGTAACACAGGTGAACAGAAGGACACACAGTATAGAACCAATGGACAGAAAAACAGATGAAGGGACATTGCAGTACTCCCCACAACCAATAAGTGAGGATATAAAATGCTTATAGTCACAAGATCCCATGTCGAGAGTGTGATCAAGCCTTGAACATTTCAGTTTTACTAGAGAATTGGTGTTAAATCTAACTTTTCCCTTAAACACTGGATATTTATTTTCACTAAGTCCTTTCTGTAAACCCTATGGCAATAAAAATCTTACAGCAGTAATGTTTTACCTTTGTACAAATTGTAGATAATAAGAGTGCTAGTTCTCCCCCTTTAGATACTCCAAACATTCCTATACCTGTTTTCATAGTGGCAGGATGACTACAGAACCATGTAACTGCTTCCTGTCAATATAAACATGCTCATCCTTTATACATATATTTGATGAATGTACTGTTAAACAAGATATTGTCCTTCATAAAGACTATTTAACAAATTTATAAAAGAAAACTTTAATTTTAATGTATAGAGTTTTTCTTTTTATTATCTGAAATCTTCAACCATAATTGAAAATATATATTGTCTGTGAAATTAAATATGTAAATTGATATAAACATTCAGGTAAAAGTGATAGTTAACAATAAGCAATTGTTTTCCGTCATTAGGTGAGTCCCATGACCTAATGCTTTCTGATGGTTCTGAACCATGAAAAACACTTCACTAGTCATTCAACTTGCAATAAGTTTGAAATATTCAACAGATTCTTTTTTTGTTACTCTAAAATAGTTGGATAAATTCATGACTCCTAGAATAATGAATTTGACAAAATGAAAATAATCTGTTTCTATACCCAGAAATAAGTGTCATGTATTAGTCTAATAGGTAAGAACAATCTATACTACTAAAATAACGAGGTCCAATTTGTTAGCCAGCATGATATCAAAAACAATAAATCAAAGAATTCAACTTTATATATAACAAATATAGGACAATTGTGTTGATTAAAAATTACACTATTCCAGGCCCTTTTGTTTTCCACATAATTAATATTACCAATCGTTAAACACATTACGGGTTGAATCAAGTACCGATACCAATAGTATATGTCGCATTTAGTTTCTGGTTGTAACAGTAACTAGGTTGTATCCTAACACTTAAGCTGTTACATTTACATGTGATGAGTAGTCCTCCATCAATAATAAAAGTTAATTTATTCTAACATTTAAAGTGCTATATATACATCAAAGTAAACACTGCTCAGCTTTATATCATAAATATAAAACACTTCTTCACTAATTACAGTTTATTAGTATGTTTATATACACCAAAGGAAGTTATGATGCTGCAAGCTCAATGATTTAACTTGGAAGGTTAACTATCATCTTCATAACACAGTATAGTGTGGCAATATATCTGAGCTCACTGTCATACAAGTTGAAAGTTGGTTGGGTATTAAACGTCAGGGTTAACAGCCATTTAGTATAGTGTGGTTGTAATTAGGAAACCAGGACGGGTTCAAACAGAAAGATTTTGAAAGCAGAGAAAACTGTGCACCTTATAATCAGCATGACTTTATCAGATGACAATACGAATACTACAAATTCAGGCTAAAAATAAGGCGTAGGTACTTTCTAATTTGTTAGCCTGCATGACGTAAAATAAACGAATCAAAGAATTCAACTTTATATATAACTAATATAGGACAATGGTTTTGGTGAAAAATTACACCATTTCAGGCCCTTTTGTTTTTCATATAATTAATATGACCAATAATTAACAAGTTCCTGGTCAACGGGTTCAAACAGAAAGATTGTGAAAGCAGATCTAGAGAAAATTGTGCACCTGATAATCAGCACGACTTTATCAGATGATAATACAAATACTAAAAATCCAGGCTAAAAATTAGGCGTAACTTTAATTCAGTCAATGACCCGCGATGTAGCAGGTGTGTTCTAGTTTATGATATAATTTAACTGGTTAAAAACCTGCAAATATGATGTCTCGATTTCTTTAACATCATAAGAAGTCATGTAACATAAAGCAAATGTAATAAACCCTTTGTTTGCAAGCATGGCAGCTCTGAACTCCATTATTCCTCCAACAGTACCAAACATATCTATCACTCCAGGAAATGGACCATGTCCTGAAATATACAAAGACAACAAATATATACATGTAGATAGTATTTCTATTAATAAAAGACAACACTCAAAGTTACCATATGAATGAAGGTTTATTCATGTTCACTAATTTTGCCACATGGATGGCATCTTTAGGACAGATACAAGCTCACATGTCAGCAAGGGCCCATCTTGCACAGTTTCGTGTGAGGTGAGAAACAAATAATTTATACTCATACATGCAAAAGGATCAAATTCATGATGAATCAATTTTCTTAAATTTTGAGATTAGGAATTAATTCAGATGTGCTATAAATACATAGTTTTGTTTAACATCAAAGCACAACGTATGGAAACCATTTCGTAAATAGTGGGTAACCAACAATTTTTTACACAGGGAATCAATTTGGAACAGCAAATTTATAATACATACCTATACTGCAAACATTAATGAAATTAAATTACTAATAGAACTGTTTATACCTGGAGGGATAAAGAGTGTTCCTTTTAGTCTCCCATGCTTTATTTCCACTCTAGTTACATCACTTCTTTTAAATAACCTCTCTATTTCCTTGTTTGCTAGGGGTGTAAATTTATTTGAATGAACATTCTCCCAGGTAAGATGACCTTTATATAGAGTAATTTTCACTTCCTGTGGTGTCGTTACTGTCCTTTTTACATATCGTCTTCCAGGTTTTTGTCCAGGATCTTGTATCATACTCCAGAATAATCCCATTGGTTTGATACCTAAAATGCAAAGGTGTTAAATATCTTTCTATATCTTCACAGCAATGCTTTAATTCTAAATACTTGGATTCAAAAGTAATTTTTTCTCTTCAGATAAATATGAATCAGATTCTAAAACACATTTGAATATAATTTTTACCTTGAAATTCTTTGGACTATAAGACTTGGAATAAAAAGAAATCAATCAATTTACTGATATATTACATGTATTGTGATGACACATTCAGTTTAATTAAACAAGAATATGTGTCCATATAGTACACCGGGGCATGCTGCATGTAGAGTGAACATAGAAAATCTCGTCAAAACCCTAATTTGACATATATCCTAAACAATTAAAATCATAATGAACATGTGTACTAAGTCTCAAGTGAATGTAACCACAACTTCATGGTAAACTACCTTAAAGCAAAACTGTAACATGATACAGAACAGTGGAATGGATGCACAGAACAGAAAACTAATCCTCCCTTATCATAGATGGGGCTTAAAAAAGACTTAAACTATCATATCATTTATGAGGGATGTAAAGCTAAATAACTTATTTAGATAAATTTGTCTTTGCAATTGAGTGAAGAAAAACATGCATGACTGTATTTGAGATGTCTATTTTATATACATGTTTCAAAAATGTCCTGTTGTCAACTGTAATAACTTTTCCTAGTATATTTGGAAATTTCACAGTCATTTACATGTTAAATACTATATTTTTATTATTCCTGTATTATAATGGCAATCAATAATTTGTTTGCAACTTCAAGGAAGGGATGAACATTGGCACTTATTCAACCCTACTGATTATGTTATCAGTAAACTAAAACCATACTAAATATTATATTATACACACATGCACATTCACGGTTCTACAATCTGTGGATACCTATATTTTTGGCATTGCACAAGGTCATGTTTTTCTCTGTCTGTTAATGATGTCTTTACACTAAATCCTTTGGATGTTGGGTGTGTACTAATTGATATTTTATTCTTAGATTCATGATTTTTTTATTTGTTGTTGTTGGCTTTGAACTAGCTGTCAGTAACTGGGAGTACTCTCAGATCAGTAATTTGTGTCTATTTTGTAGTGGGGTGTGTATATATTTCCTGCCATGTCCGCTCTGTGTTTTTGTTAGATGTATTTTTGCTTTGTATAGATCTGATGAGTTAAGCCCTTTTCAACTGATTTTTATTGTTTGTTCTTATGTTGTACTGTTACACCACTGTCCCAGGTTAGGGGAGGGTTTGCGCCTTCAAACTAGTTTTACCCTGCCACATTATGTATGTGCCTAGCCTGTAATTCATTGGTTGTCTTTTGTTGCTGTATATTATATTTGTTTTTTGTTCATTATTTTGTACATATATCAGGCGGTTAGTTTTCTCGTTTGAACTGTTATACATTTGTCATTTTGAGGCCTTTTATAGCTGACTATGCAGTATGGGTTTTTCTCATTGTTGAAGACCATACAGTGACCTATAGCTGTTAACTTCTATGTCATTTGGTCTCTGGTGGAGAGTTGTCTCATTGGCAATTATACCACGCCTTCTTATTTTTATATCACAAGTCCATCCAATGTAGGTTTGCAACTGTATAACCATCTAAAATTGTGTCTCATCAGACGTTTTTTGCAGTACATAAAGAAACATTAATAATCTTAAACATATACATGATATAAATACATTCCTGGGAAACAAAATAAAAAATTTATGTTAAAAGTTAATTAAAAAAAAAGGTCCACTTGATTGGCAATGATACGACAACTTACAAACATTCCCCTTACTAGAACACCTTGTTTTTCTAGTGAAGTTGTTAGTTTTCTAGTGAAGTTGTTACAAACATTCCCCTTACTAGAACACCTTGTTTTCTAATGAAGTTGTTAAAAACATTCCCCTTACTAGAACACCTTGTTTTCTAATGAAATTGTTACAAATATTCCTCTTACTAGAACACCTTTGTTTTCTAATGAAGTTGTTACAAACATTCCCCTTACTAGAACACCTTTGTTTTCTAATGAAGTTGTTAAAAACATTCCCCTTACTAGAACACCTTGTTTTCTAATAAAGTTGTTACAAACATTCCCCTTACTAGAACACCTTGTTTTCTAGTGAAGTTGTTACAAACATTCCCCTTACAAGAACACCTTGTTTTCTAGTGAAGTTGTTACAAACATTCCCCTTACTAGAACACCTTGTTTTCTAGTGAAGTTGTTACAAACATTCCCCTTACAAGAACACCTTGTTTTCTAGTGAAGTTGTTACAAACATTCCCCTTACTAGAACACCTTGTTTTCTAGTGAAATTGTTACAAATATTCCCCTTACTAGAACACCTTTGTTTTCTAATGAAGTTGTTACAAACATTCCCCTTACTAGAACACCTTGTTTTCTAATGAAGTTGTTACAAACATTCCCCTTACTAGAACACCTTGTTTTCTAGTGAAGTTGTTACAAACATTCCCCTTACTAGAACACCTTGTTTTCTAGTGAAGTTGTTACAAACATTCCCCTTACAAGAACACCTTGTTTTCTAGTGAAGTTGTTACAAACATTCCCTTTCTAGAACACCTTGTTTTCTAATGAAGCTGCTGCTACTCAATGTGTAGTTTACTGACTTGTTATTTATGAACTATTTCATTTTTCTTTTCTTTTGGTGTTGACTATTTTTCTCGGACTTATGGTTCTTGATTATCCATTTGATATCTTCCTCGTTTTTATATTTTTTGTACAAGGTTATTTTATACCTGTATAAGTTCCTGACAGTGATGGGTGCTTTGCCAAAGATATTGATCCATTTTTATCTGATGTGTAACAAGCAAAAGAGGAAAATTTTGAATTTCCTTCAAACGTTGAGGCTTTTATGGTTGTATTCTGATGTGCTTGAAGTCCATGAATCACTACCTGTAATTTATCATCAACTAGTGGATTTTCTGGTGATATCAAAATATCTGGCATCTGAAAAAGAGCGAAAAGGATCTGCTGAAAAATATATCATATTTCAAATAATTATTGGATAAGTATAAAAATCATCTAAGTATGTGCAGATGTTGGTATCATTTCAAAAGCATCAACATAAAATCTTATTCAATGTAACCATGGTAACTGATGATCTATTCTTAGCCATGTTGGCCATGTTGGTTACCAGAAAGGATATTCTATATAACACCTTTTTTAAACAAGAAACTTACTGATAATTGTGATCAAGTTTGTTCACAATTGGTCGAGTAGTTTAAAAGAAGATAATTGTAAAAGTTAATTAACAACAAAGACAGACGCCAAGTAATGACAATAACCTTTGGACCCTATGGTGTACTATGTATATAACCCGACTCTAAATAAATCTTATATGCTTGGGTCAGGTGAGCTAAAAAGGGAAACTCTTCACTTCTGTGTATTTATCTAATAAAACAAAGATGAGTTTTAAAAATGAAATATATATATCTTTTGATAACAGTAGTAAGCTCAACAACGTCCGATATTACAACACATGTACATGGAATGTCAGGTAATGGAAACTGGTTACTATGTCTTCGGGTCAAATTTAAGATCCCCTCATCTTAGAAATGTCGTAGTGATAAGTGTTACTTGTGTAATTCGTATAGATCCAAGGAAAATTGCCTAAATAAGACATGCATTTCAAAGTCATTTAATATCCTGCACTAACATTTCGTACAAAAACACATAATATTTCTTTTGTTTAAAAAAGAAACATCTTTCCCTTATATGATCTTATAATTTTACCATTCGAGATTGATTTAAAACATATTAGTGGGCAGTGTCAGGCGATACCGGAAATCAATTTTGGGTTACAAAACACAACGATAACGGAAAGCCTTCGTATTAGTTCCGAGTTTGCCAAATGTAGCCCTTTAACTTAATCATGTTAATAGAAGTTATTTTAATGGGATTTGACTGTATAAAATGTTTTTTACTAGCATATTCATTTTAGGTTTAAAAGAGGGGCGTCGGAAAGATACCAGAGGGACAGTCAAACTCATAGATCGAAAACAAACTGACAACGCCATGGCCAAAAATAAAAAGACAAACAGACAAATAATAGTACAGATGACAAAACAAAGAAAACCAAAGACTAAGCAACACGAACCCCACCAAAAACTGGGGATGATCTCAGGTGCTCCGGAAGGGTAAGCAGATCCTGCTCCACATGTGGCACCCGTCGTGCTGCCAGGCGCGTAGCTACGTTTACGTCAAAACGCCCGGGCGTACACATGAATTTTGAAAAAAAATATTTAAATCTAAATAAATTAAAAGAATTGGTTAAAAGCACATTAGGCTTGTAATACTTTCTTCAATGACGACATTAACTTTATGAATCAAATGATATGATATTACATATTTGTTCATTTTCTGTCAAAGTCTGAATCTACTGTGAATTCTACTCAATTTCCTATTGTTCAAAGCAATTTATTATATATAAAATCTTGTTAACAATGAAAGTGGTGGTGTCTGATAGTCTGAAGTCAAGGAGACAGCATTAAGGATTTAACTAGGCAAAACGTTTATTGTACTATTTTTGCCAAACGACATGTGATATGAAAATAAAATAATTTCGAATTTTGTCTCCTGTAAATGACTGGTCAAACTTGTCACATGTAAAACAACACCTACAAGATGATTCTTCTCACCATGATTGTGTAAAATTGGGACAAGACTTTTTGGGTGTTGCAAATTCAATATCCAAGTCAATAGCTTCTCAAGTTCTTCACTGTCATCCTTTCATCATGAGATTCTAACAAAAAACCGACATATACTTTCAAAAATAGTTGATGTAATCATCCTTTGTGAAAAACAGAATATACCACTTCGTGGCCATACTGAAGGAAAAAAGTAACTTTATGGCAACACTTTTAAAGACAATTGCAAATTCGGATGACGTCTTTGCTATGCATCTTGAGACTGTCACTTTGGTCAAATACACATTCCCAAAAAACCAAAATTAACTCATTGTCATACGTGCAGACCAAATATTAGACCAACGTATATAAGGACTCTTGTTGTAGCTCATCCTTTCTTGTTCTACTTGCTGAATACAACAACAGATAAAGCATCTCAAACCCAGCTTTCGGTTTGTGTTACATTTAGGGAGCTATCATTTGATTTTTATGGGGGACTAGGATGAAATTTGGAAAAAAAGGCAGGACAGGAGTTTTGAGTAAAAAAAAGGCAGAATGGGCAACTTGGCAAAAAAAAAGGCAGGATGACAATTTATGTAAAAAAAAGTCAGGATAAACTAATGTTACACTATTGTTTCAGAAAAAAGGGTGAAGGTTTGGTACCATTAAAACGTTTAAACCCGCTGCATTTGTTTGCACCTGTCCTAAGTCAGGAATCTGATGTTCAGTAGTTGTCGTTTGTTGATGTGGTACATAAGTGTTTCTCGTTTCTCGTTTTTTATATGGATTAGACCGTTGGTTTTCCCGTTTGAATGGTTTTACATTAGTAATTTTTGGGGCCTTTTATAGCTTACTGTTCGGTGTGAGCCAAGGCTCCGTGTTGAAGACCGTACTGTGACCTATAATTTTTTACTTTTATAAATGTTGACTTGGATGGAGAGTTGTCTCATTGGCACTCATACCACATCTTCTTATATCTAATAAAAAAGGGCAGGACCGAACAGAGTGAAAAATAAAAAGGCAGGACAGAGATTACAACTAAAAAAATACAGGACAAAGTTTTTCATCCTAGCCCCCCTAAAAATCAAATGGTAGCTCCCTTACGTGAACTATTTTTAGGATTCAATCACGCCAAAGCTTCAACAAAAGAAGCAATTGCAAATCTGCTACTTGAATTTATGAATCAAAATGGTATTTATCTACAAAAATTGAGAGCACAGGGTTATAATGGTTCTAGCATTACACTGCATATGCAATGATTTATACAATTTGGGTAACTTTTATTCACAATATCGTACAAACCTTATCATTTGATTTTTTGATAAATGCACCCATTTCTTTTTTATATTTCTATGGAAGCTGAAATACGATATGTGATTTTCACCCCACATCTCCTGTATCTCTTTCTCGATAACGCGTGAGCTTCCGTGGGGGGGGGGGGGGTCTCCCACATGAGCCCCTTTCAGAGCTACACCCTGGATCCAGACCCCTCGCTGAGGTTCGGGCGTACACTTAAAAAAGGCCTTGCTACGCCACTGGCTGCTTATGTTATTACAAATCCGGTAAATAGTCTTATTCGGTAAGTCACATTGGTGAAAAGGGAGGGTATTGTAGTTACGACATAAGGAACTTATCCGATATCATCTGTGAAACGGTTATTCCATAACGGTTAACCAACTCGTGATGGCGTCCGTAAAATTTACGAAGAGATGACTTTAACTTCACCGTTTGGAACTCTTGGTTTAATAGCTTCCTTGTGAGTAGCAATCCTCTATCAAGGAAATCATGATAGGAAACACAAGACCGGGAATATCGTATCAATTGGGAGATATATACTCTATATATATAACCTGGGATGTTAGTATAATAGTCCCATGTTTAACCGTGCAACCTTTACATAGTAAGGTTGATGTACTCCAACTATTCGAAGAAGATATAGATGAAAGAAGTGTGTGTGTGTGTGTGTGTGTTTAAGATTTTCAAAAGATATCCTAAAATAACACTAAAATCAATGGGTGGGTGCTCCAAGCTCCTGTGTTTTCATATTTATCTCTGGACACTGAGACTACTAAGGGAGCAACCATTTAACTTCAAAGGGGGGGTATGGTATTTTGTCTGAGTCAGAAATTTTTTCGCGCAAAATTCAATCAAATTATTTTTTCAAAATTTAACACTATAAGGTATGGGGAAAATCTGGTTTCAGAATATTTTTTTTGTCATCTGCTTGACCATCAAATTTGGGATCAGAATATTTTTTTAGGAAAAAACCATACCCCCCTTGAAGTTAAATGGTCGTTCCCTAACGTCACAGTACCCAAATTGCACCCATTTAGCCAAAATAGCTGCGGAAATCTTACAAGTATTTTTTAAGAGACTAAACAATTTATATGTTTATGATTTGGCATTATACACGTGTTTCGACATACCTAAATATATTTGAATATACACGAAACGTTCACAGTATATATCAACGGATGAAGTATTCACTGGAAAAAGTAAAATCTACGGAAACGTCGCCATGCGACCTCCACAAAAATATTTGGAGAAATAAAACAAAACATTAATTAATCGATTTTTACGGATGCGTTAAGCATAGATGCAATTTGGGTATACTCCTCATTACAGAATCATGGATCGTTTGGTGGTTGGTTCAGACCCATTTTTCTATGTTTCAATATGGATTCAAAATCAAATTGGTGAAACTATATGGTAAATAAGGATACAACTACAAAATAAACACAGAATGGAATCTTAGTTTTGTCTTAATCATAACTAAACGTAGGTGAAAAATCTGTCAAAATAGGTGCAATTTGGTTACACTCACGTTATATATTTAACAAAGGATTTTTATGGTAAGACTATACAAATTCTTGATTTAACACATCTCATGTATAAAGTAAATTATAGTTATATTGAGATTACTGTAACACAGTTATAGTAATCTCAAAGGTTATAGTAGTCTCAGCTGGACACTGGGCAAGAAATTATCGTTTCAAATAATTAGGATATTTTGTAATTTTTGCTATTTCCTCATTTGAGGCGATGTCGTACGTGTATGCGTTAATTAGATAGCAACTCAAGAATAGAAATAATAAAACCTATACATCTTAGAGACTGTTGTTTTGCATAAACTAATATTTATATTTTAACTTATCTGATCTTATTTGAATATTCACTGTAAATCTTTAGTCATTTTAATTATTATGCGGAAATAGAATATACTAATAAGGACATTTTTCCCATTGTCGTTTTTCGTTTTCTTAATTTGTCATTTCAAAGATATCATTCCAATGATAAAATTCTATATTGACTAATGGCTACACTAATCATCAAATCACGTGTCATGTTTCGTGTATATGTTACAGAACAAATTGAACTTCGGTAGGATCCAGAATCATCTAGTTAAAATTAAAATTCCATTATCTAATAGTAGAAATTTGGATATCCAGACTTGTACACGAGTAGGTGGATCCTGGATTGTACTATTAGTATTACTTTAAAAGATACAATAATAACAATATTTTGGTTTACTTCATAATGAAATAAACTTACTATAGTATTATCAAAACTAGTCTTGTTTGAACAAGCAATAAAAGTGGCAGGACCAATTTACACTAAATTTATTTCACTATAAACCCCTTACTAAAAGTCCTTTAATCTTAACTAATTAAAACAATCACAACTGTAAGGTTTAACAACAATTTAGTGTATTTCTGAACATTTGATCATCACATTATAGATACCTATAGATGGTTTGTAAATTTCATTCAGTCAGATTTTGGCAAATTTTAGATGATTATTTATAAATGTACAAGGACACTCCTAACAAAAACCAAAATAGTATTGTAAATATTTCCATATATTATCTTTATTATACTAGTAATTTAACTGATGTCTTGATACATAATTTGATAAGAACAAGTTTATTTTTCAATATTGTCGCCAAAAGCAATATGTAGCGCTGAATAAAATTTTGATTCTAGGGAAATATGTAAAACTGTTGATATCGTTTTAAGCATATTATATATTTTTGTTACTGAAGTTCCACCAGGTTTTAATAATGTTTTGATTTTTTACACTGTGATTGAAACAAGTACACTGTCAGTGGACAGGACAAGCTGTGATTAGAATCTTGGACAGGAAGATTTTAGAATATTTGAAATGAATATCCTGGT